CTAAATGGGTAATGGGCACTAAGGAATCTACTCCTGAAATCATTGTTGCACTATATGCTAATTTGGATGTAAATTTAAAAAAATAAAAAATAAAACAAGTTAAAATAAAAAAGAATAAAATAAGGATCCAAGAATCCATAATGGTACCAATAAGTACATGAATAAATAAATAAACTGATAGAAGGGAAAGCTTTGCCTTAACATTAGAATATCTAATAAAGATAGGAAGAATGATGATATTGGGAGATCTCCCTGGACAACCACCATGGTAATAATTGTTCATAATAATAGTTCAAACAAGAACTATCAATGTTTGCTAAAATTAGTGAGTGAATTAATATCTTATGAGCAACAGGGTATTTACATCTCAACAAATCCTCCCCCAAAATACTTACCAGTTACAAAGGAAAAAATTGTAATTTTATAATGAACGTGGCAGATAAAACCTTAAACAAGTGATCAAAATTAACATCACTAGCATAGTAATGGGACAAATAGATATTATATGCCTCTTGATATGATGAATTGAGAAGGATACAGCATCACTTCTGTGGTATTCCTGCCAAAATGTGTAGCATGGGAAATATCAGGTACACCAGGGTTGAGGCATATTCTTTGAAAAAAGAAAATAATCTGTACTCTTCAAAAATACGAAGATCGTGAAAGACAAAGACTGAAGAACTATGCCAGATTGACAGACTAAAGAGACATTACAACCAAATGCAATGTATGATCTTGGATTGGATCCTGAACCAGGAACTTTTTTTTCTTTAGTACTAAAGGACATTAGGTGGCCAACTGAAATTATACTGTGATTATATAAGAGATGTCATTATTTTTAGGAAATAGGGGGTGAAGTATTATGTCTGCAATTTACTCTCAGATTGTTTTGTATGTATATAGAGAGGAATAAAATAAAGCAAACATGATAGAATGTTAATGTTTCAGCATAGCATTTTTTTAATTCCTGAGCAATCACATAAAACATTAATGTCTAATAAAAATAGATAGTGGGTACATATGTGTGTATTATTTTCTTTTTTTTTTAATTTTTTTTTTTTGAGTATTTTTTAAGAGAGAGCATGCATGCAGGCAGTAGAGGGGCAGAGAGAAGGGGAGAGAGACAGAATCCCAAGCAGGCTCCACACTATCAGCACAGAGTCCAACGTGCGGCTCAAACTCACAAATCGTGAAATCATAACTTGAGCTGAAGTCAAAAGTCAGACGCTTAATCAACTAAGCCACCCAGGTTCCCTGTGTCTATTATTTTCTATATGTTTGAAGTCTTATACAGTATTAAATTTTTTATTTTAAATATCCCTACTAAATTGAAATTGTTTATTGAAGTACACTTAAGCCCTTAGATTATAAAATGCATAATGAGGCAGTATGTAATTTAAAATATAATAAAATCTATTTGATAAGTTATGATTACTACCCTATTTAACATGAACACACTCATCTTTATTAAAAATCCAAATGGCCTTTGTAAGTGAATTTAAGCATTTCAGAAAAGTGTCTTAAATCCAGAAGTGGGGTCCCCAATTGCCAGTTTGTGTTAAAGTCCCCAATAAAATGAGAAATAAATTAGTGGTATATAAGGTTTTATAAATTTCAATTTATTCAGTTTTAAAGATTCTTCTTCACTTTAGGTATTTTCCCTCTTGTTGATTATGTATTGTTTTATGAAATGGTGGTTGTAGTAAGGTGGTTTATTAGGTGTTTAGGGTGTTTTATTTTTCTTGGTAAAATAAGTTAGGAACCCCATATTGGTTGCCATTTGGAGACTGATCTATGAAAGCTAGGAGTAAGGGAATTGTATTTTCATTCCTTTTTAAATGTAATATTTGAAAATGGAAAATTATTCATAGTCATCATTCATTGTCTTCATTTCCCCTCTGAAATTTGCTAACAGAAATGACAAGTTTGCTTAAAGTGAACAGGATCCAAACATATCATAATCCATATTTTGTACCTGTAGGAAATGTACCTTTGAAATGATTGAAAATACTTAGTTCACTTGTTTTTCTTCTTTATTTCCTCTATTTTAGGGCAAACATTGTATCCTCGATGTCTCTGGAAATGCCATAAAGAGATTACAGATTGCACAACTTTACCCAATCTCCATTTTTATTAAACCCAAATCCATGGAAAATATCATGTAAGTGTAAATGCCTAAGGCACAAGTCTCTAAGTACAAATCCAGTCTGTTACTTATTATATTGGGTAATTTACTTATCTTCCCTGTGTCTGCGTTCCCTTATCTGTAAAATGGAAATAGTAGTATATACCCTCCTCATATGGTTATTGTGAGGATTAAATAAGCGTTCTGTAATACACCTATCATCATCATCAACATTAATATACTAAAGTATAAGGTAATATGTATTAGAATTTTAAGTCTGAATGGTCACATGTGGCTAATAATTACTGAATGGGGCAGTGTAGTTCTGGGTAACCACTAAAAAGATAAAATAATGTATTCCTATTTATAATAGAGGGCAGAAATCGAATGTAAATAAAACTAAAAGATAGGACAGAGCAAATAGAAACAGAACAGATGGGATAAGGATACAGACACTGAGATGCCTTTTTTTTTTTAATGTTTGTTTATTTTTGAGATAGAGAGAGCGAGCGGGGGAGGGGCAGAGAGAGAGGGAGACACAGAATCCAAAGCAGGCTCCAGACTCCAAGCTGTCAGCCCAGAGCCCAATGCAGGGCTTGAACTCACGAACCAGGAGATCATGACCTGAGCCAAAGTCGGACGCTTAACCAACTGAGCCACCCAGGCACCCCCTTTATTTTTTTTTTAAGTTT